TTTTAAAGACTTATTTTTATTTTTAGTTAGGTGCATTGGGGGAGAGTGTGCACCAGCATGTGGTGCCATTGGGGGCCAGAAGAGAGCATCAGAGCCCCGTGAGCTGGAGTGAGTGAGAGGCAACTGTGATGTCAGCTGCCCAGCATGGGTGCTGGGAACCACATTCAGGTCCTCTGCAAGAACAGGACAGGTTTTTAACTGCTGAGCCACCTCTCCGGCCCCACAATGTTAATCTTAATAACCCTGCAGAACACTACCCCCAAAGAAATCCAATTCCTACACAACCCTCGATAAAGGATCTCACTCAGACCCTCAAAACCTGTCGACTCGGTGCCGCTGCCAGCAGCTATATTTCAGGAGTTGATAAATCCAGGTCAGCTTAAGCAGGACTAGGAACTTCCAAGGGGACTTTGCTTTGAAAAGGATTGCAGGCCTACGGAAGCTTCCTGGAGCTCCACAATCTGAAGGCTTTCAGTCACCGGCAGAGACAACTGTAGGTATCCAAGGAGCCGGTGAAACGATTCATGTCGTTAAGTCTATCTAGCACATGAGACCTGAAGGAGAGGCCAAGGTGCTCACCTAGGGACCACACAGAAACAAACAGTGCTCAGCCTTCAATATGACTCCAGAGAAGGGCATTTGGGCCTAACACCAATGACCCGAGTTTGATCCCTAGATCTCACACGATGGAGAGAAAGAACCGACTCCTGCAAGCTGTCTTTTGACCCCTATGTGTGTGTCATGGCACGTGTCCCCACACACATACACACATATACAAATAAATAAATAAATACAAGAAGAATGACAGCCGGGAGGTGGTGGCGCACACCTTTAATCTCAGCACTTGGGAGGCAGAGGCAGGAGGATCTCAGTGAGTTTGAGACCAGCCTGGTCTACAGAGTGAGTTCCAAGACAGCCAAGGCTACACAGTGAAACTCCCACACACACACACCAAAAAAAAAAAAAGAAAGACAGATAATGACAGATTTCATATGGACTTAAATGACATCCAGGGTTAATCCTTGAAGTGCTAATTTTTTATTCTTTTTATGTAAAAATAAAGCAGTAATTAATTGTCCATAGTCAACCATTCACGCAGTTTAATAAGTTATATATGGTTATATATAATTTCTCCTTTAAAAATATATAACCAGATCTAGTAAAAAGCCATATTTAACAAAAAGTGGCCACTCCAAACATTCATGCTCTAACCATTCCACAAGGCAGAAATGGTGGTTTAGGCCTTTAAAGCCAGCACTTGGGAGGCAGAGGCAGGTAAATCTTTTATGAGTTCCAAGCCAGACAGATCTACATATAGAGACCCTGGCTCAAAACAAAGAGAGTTGACATGGTTTACATTTACTAGGTGTCAGATGAGTGGTGCTAAAAACAAACTAAAATATAAAACATGGATTAATTATTTCAAGAATTATAGGCTCTATTTATATGAAATAATTTGTTTTAAACATTTGCTTTGCCAGAAGGTGGTGGCGCGCGCCTTTAATCCCAGCACTGGGGAGGCAGAGGCAGGTGGATCTGTGAGTTTGAGGCAAGGGATACAGAGTGAGTTCCAGGACAGTCGGAGCAGTTACACAGAGAAACCCTGTCTTGAAAAAACAACAACAACAAAAAACCCAAACAAACAAACAAAAACCAACAAAAAAAAAAAAAAAACCATTTGCTTTATTTCTACATAGGTTATAGTTAGATGTATTTAACAGCATAACCATGGTCTGATATGGTACCTCACTCCCATAATCCCAGCATTTGAGAGACTAAGGAGTCTGTGAAGTCAAGGCAAACTGAACAAATTCGAGGCCATCTAGGGCCATCTAGTAAGACCTGTTGGTTCATTCCCATCATCTCTCTGCTTAAAAGGTGGAGGCATGAAGATCAGGAGTTCAAGACTATCTTCAGCTACTTAACAAGGTGGAGATCATCATGGCCTATATTTGTCCCTGTCTTAAAGGCAACAAAAAGCAAATAATAATAAAATATCCCAAACACGCAGGGCGGTGGTGGCGCACGCCTTTAATCCCAGCACTTGGGAGGCAGAACCAAGTGGCTCTCTGTGAGTTCGAGCTCAGCCTGGGCTACCAAGTGAGTTCCAGGAAAGGCACAATGCTACACAGAGAAACCCTGTCTTGAAAAACCAAAAACCAAAAAACAAACAAACAAACAAAATCCTAAACACAAGAGAATTGGAGAGGTTTTTGTTTTGTTTTATTGTTATTGTTTCTTTAATTTGAGGCTGGGTCTTCCTATGTTGACTAGGCTAACCTAAACTTGTCATTCACCTGCCTCAGACCCTGAATATGTAGACCACCACCACACAAAGTCCATGCCATAGTTTTGAAAGATGAGAAACTGCTTATCTCTGCACTCACTCAATATTGACCGAGCGCCTATCAACCTCTCGTAGAGTACCGTGGCTAGACAGACAAGGATGGGTAAAGGCGGTCCTTCCCTGTGAGGCTCTCACAATCCACTAATGGAGATAAACACCTAGTAGAGGATGGTGGTACCGAGGCTATGTGCGTAGGGTGAAGAAGGCAGGTCCTGAAGTCCAACACACTCAGAAGTTCAGTCTGGACATACTAAGTTTGCCAACTGCCCACCCTCCCTTAGCCTGCTGAAATAACAGTTCTCCCATGATTGTTGTGAGAATTAACTGTGAACGTGCAGCGAAGTTGCTTAGCACTGTATCATACTTAACAAGTACTTAGGAAACACTAGGTATTCCCCGATGTGTTAAATGCTGCTGTGGCAATTAGGCAAGGTTGGTACTTCCTTCCTTACGTGTAGTTAGGGATGGAATTAGGCTTGCGTGGTGCTTGCAAGCTGCCTCCTTTGGCATGGGGCTAGGGAAACTGCTTTGGATAACCATACTGGTTTGCAGGGAAGCTGATAACTCTTGATGTTAGTTTGTGTGTATGTGTGGTGTGTGCGTGTGTGTGTATGTGTGTGTGTGTGTATGTGTGTGTGTGTGTGGGGGGGTGTTACCTCTTTCCCTGTAAATGGGAGCTGTTGCCAATCAAAAGTCGAATGGAGTGGTTGAACAGATGAAAACTTCTCAGGAGGGAGGCTAGCTTTGCCAGGTACCCAACATCCTTTTAACCCCTTTAAAAGGAGGAACTGAATGCAGAAACAAATGGATTTGCTGAGAACGACACACCCCAGTTCCCTCCTCAACCTGTTCTCATCTTCTCAGCTATGCCAAGATGCCCATGGCATGAATGCCTTTTCTCAAAACCCACCCAGTAGTGTTTTGATGGTTCAGTAGGGATCACTGAGCTGTCCTAGGTCAGGCAGGCACTGTGCTAGGCTCAGGGAGAATAAAGGGAAGCAGAAGTACAGTGTGAGAGAGACAGACACTCATCAAATGCGCATTCAGTGTGTGAGCACCCCAGTCTCTGAGTGGAGAGTGCAGAGCTGCCCTGGTGTAGACTGAGGCCTGGGTGGTGCAAATCAGGAAGAGTCTCTGCAGACAAGTACCATGTAAAGACACAACTGGCTCTTTAGAAGAGCTGGTAGTTTGCTCCTTGATTTCAGCACCACCAGAATGTTCCAGAAAGGAAAGCTTAGTCAAATAGATTGTGTCATATTTTATAGATGCTGTGTTTATAGAAATGATTTATTTTTATCTAATTGTATTTCAGCATTTCTGATTGTCATTGTGTTCCATAAGGTTTTGTGTTTGTTTCCAGGCCTGAGGGTTGAATCTAGGGACTTATCTTTGTAAGACAACTGCTAGCCTTGAACTCAGTCTGAAGTTCAAGCTGGCCTTGAACTTGCGATCTTCCTGACTCAGTTAGGATTACATGCCCCCACAATGGCTTTCATTAGTTGTACTGAAAATGGAAAGAATTCCTCTCTGGAGTGATACTTCTTTATTACCACTGCTCTCACACACACATGCCCATGTGCAGTCCTGTATTTTCAACTAACCAAGATTTGGGGACAATGTTAGATCATGAAAAAGCCTTATGTAGATCTTGGGGCTAGTGAAATGGTCCTTCCTATGCAGGCCTGGCAACCTGAGTTTGATCCATGGAACCCACCTAAAGTTGCCACGTTGTCCTCTGACTGCTTTATATGTGCAAAGGCACACATGCAAACACACACACACACACACACACACACACACACACACACACAATTTAAATTAAAAAAAAAAAATTAAAACCATAGATCTAACTTCTTCGTCCCTTGTTGGGAGGGACACGATGCTCCAGTACGACGGTTTTCAACTGGCAGGTCACTACCTCTCTGACCACTGGAAAACACATTTTTCTGAGGGTCTTAGGGACCAAGACACACTGCTCTACCCATCTCCAGGGCTGGGGTCGGCACAGCACGAGAAAGTGTGTGGAACTGTCACAGCATCAGTAAGGTTGGGAACTACTGCTGCTCTAATAGTATCTTTTACTCACAAATATGCCTTTCTTCCTGCTCTGCCTTGGTTTTGCGGAGCTAATGAGAGGAGAGTGAATTTCAGGGAACACTTGTTCGTTTTTTTTTTGTTTTTGTTTTTTGTTTTTTTTTTGCTACATAAAGGTCATTTTCAGCCAAAGATGGAGGTGCGTACCTGTAAAACCAGTACTTGGAAGGTAGACGATAGAAGATTGGGACTTTAAAGCTAGTCTTGGTTAAAGAATGAGTTCCTGGCCAGTCTGGATTTGAACAACAACAACAAAGTAAAATATAATAAAAATAGTATTTTTTTTAGATTTTTCTCATAAATTAATATATTTCAAAACAGGACAGAAGAAAATGACCATGTAGATAGGACATTTCAAGCTTTTGTTAGAATATATACAAGAATATTCATTTGCTTCACACTTTGAAAAAAGCTTAATTTTAAAAAAAAATTCTACCTATTAACAGTAAAATTTGCTCAAATGGGAGTAATTTTCTTCAGAATGGCCCTATTTTCCCTTTTACATTTTTTTTCCTCACACAATCAGTATATAATATATTCATCAGACTTAAGAGAGTACCTGGACATCATTTCTCTCTCCGAGGCAGATAATTTTCAGTTCTCAAGCCAGGAGGTTTACATCTCATCAGCGGGGCCAAACAAAGAAATCAGATCTGTTGTACTGAAATTCATCACAAGAAATGAGTGCTCTATTGAGTGATCTGACACAAAACAAACAGGGACATTATCTATCAGAGGATCAGAATGTCCTAGTTTTTTAAAAAAATAAATAAATAAGAATGAGCACAATGTAACCATGCTGAAATAGCAGGGACCCTATTATCTTGCTCTTTACAATGGTTTCTTTCAGATAATGTTCTCTCGGTATAAACATACATTAAAGATAACACATAATTTCCTCAAATAAGCTCTCTGATCTGAGCTATTTATCATTAAATTAGCTACAAATTCAAAAACATGTTCCCCTTTCTGTAGTCATATCTAAGTTGTAGGAATTATTATAAACTATATATACGATATATTCTAAGTATGGCGGCAACATATTCGTGACCCAGGATTTAAGAGATAGAGGCCAAGATAGGGGGCATTCAGGGTGATATTAAAGAGATGGAGGCCGGCCGGGCAGTGGTGGCACACGCCTTTAATCCCAGCACTCAGGATGCAGAGGCAGGAGGATCTCTGTGAGTTCAAGGCCAGCCTGGTCTACAAAGCGAGTTCCAGAAAAGGCACAAAGCTACAAAGAGAAACTGTCTCGGAAAAAAGAGAGAGAGAGAGAGAGAGAGAGAGAGAGAGAGAGAGAGAGAGAGAGAGAGACCGAAGGGGTGAGACCGCGGTAGACACAGTGAGACCTTTTGGCAAGAAACCGAGAGCTGGGTCTGGAGAGATGACTCAGCTGTTTCCAAGGGACCTGGGTCCGATTCACAGCACCTACAAGTCAGCTCACACAAGTCTCCCAGTTTCAGGGGATCGGATACCTGCAGAAAGCACTAAACACGAATGTGTATTGCGTTTTGTACCACATAACTTAAAACAAAACAAAACAAAACAAAAACCACATACACATAAATAAGGAAACAAAAAAACCAAGCGGCAGAGACAGAAGACACTTGAAGGGAATTTAGTAAATAAGAGGACAGTAAAAATAAACAGGAAAATCGCAGTAATAAATAGCTCTTTGTAGCTTCTGGCACCAAACCTGGCGGTCATGTGTATTCTGAGTTCCCGTATGCGAAGAGTTTCGGGCTCAGACCCCTCAAGTGGACGACGCGAGCGGATTGGGAACAGGGACGTTGTTACCCCGGAGAGCCCAATGGTTACCTTTGCGACCGCGTGGTGCGTCCGACGTTAGAGTGCGCTAACTAACTAGCAGAGTGATCAGAAAAAAAGTTTACTTACAGGATTACCGGCTTATCCGGAAGACCACACGGCGCACAGCTTTAAGCCATGGTCAAAGATGCTGTCTGAACGCTAGCGCTTCCAATTTCCGGACCCGGTGGCCATTTTCGGAGGCCAGAAGTACTGAGGGTTTTCCGGCTGGTCAAACCAAATTATTGGACTTCCTTGGTGGTTAGATTCTTAGTATCAGCGCTCCCCCTGCTGTGCGACCCACAGGCTGAATTCCAAGTGTTCATTTTGTAGGCGGCAGGAGAGACAGCAGAGACATGGCCCGAGGGTGCTCACGAAGTCGGCTGCGGCAACGTGTGGCGCCTTTGCGGCCGAGGGTGGTGTAAGCGTTAAGCTCTGATGTTACAAGTCTCTGAGCTAAGGTAATACCATCCAGTCATATCGATCAAGAAACCTCACATAGGAGACATATTGGGGAAACCCTCTGAGAAATAACACTGAACAGGATACAGAGAAACCCTGTCTCAAAAAAAAAAAACAAAAAAACAAAAAACAAACAAAAAAAAGGGACGCTTGAAACTGAGAAGCTTCAAGACAAAAGACACAGTCAATAAGACCAAAAGACAGCCTACAGAATGGGAAAAGACCTTTACCAACCCCACATCTGACAGAGGGCTGATCTCCAAAATATATAAAGAGCTCAAGAAACTAGACATCAAAATACTGAACAATCTAATTAAAAAATGGGATAAAGAGCTAAACAGAATTCTCAAAAGAAGAATCACAAATGGCTGAAAGACATTTAAAGAAATGTTCAACATCCTTAATCATCAGAGAAATGCAAATCAAAACGACTCTAAGATACCACCTTACACCTGTCAGAATGGCTACGATCAAAAACACCAATGACAGTCAATGTTGGAGAGGATGTGGAGCAAAGGAAACACTCCTCCACTGTTGGTGGGAATGCAAACTTGTACAACCACTGTGGAAATCAGTATGGCGGTTTCTCAGAAAATTGGGAATCGAACTACCTCAAGACCCAGCCATCCCACTCTTGGGCATATACCCAAGGAATGTTGATTCATACCATAAAGATACATGCTCAACTATGTTCATAGCAGCACTATTTGTAATAGCCAGAACCTGGAAACAATCTAGATGCCCATCAACTGAAAAATGGATTAAGAAAATGGAGTACTAGTCAGCAGAGAAAAACAATGACAGCATGAAATTTGCAGGCAAATGGATGGAACTAGAAAAAAATCATCCTGGGTGAGGTAACTCAAACCCAGAAAGACAGTCATGCTATGTACTCACTCATAAGTGGACAAAATAAAGAACAATCAGACTACAACCCACAGAACCATGGAGGCTATATAGCAGGGGGGACCCTAAGACGGCTGTGGCTTCTAATAAGTTTTAGTTTTACTCAATTACTGGGCCAGCTGCAATGAAACATTTCACTATTAGGATAAGAATTTATACTGTATCAAGCTGATAATAGAAAAATAAATAAATAAACAACAGAAAAAAAAGAATGAATAAATTTTTAAAAAGTAATCTTTTAAATCTGTTGTTGAAGAAATCTAGACAAGAAGTTTATAAGGCAGGGTGCAGCTTTAGTAGGTTAAGAAAAGGAGGAGAAAGAGGGCTTGAGAAGGGTAGCATCTAATTCCACATTGGACTGTCTGTCACTGAGCCACTAGCCAGAGGCACTGAGCTGTTTCTTACGGTTTGGGCGCTCCATCTGGAGTTGTCAGATCTTGTCTTTTACTTCTTCCCTGAGGAAGAGACAAAAGGCCGCCTCTCTCTGCTGTTAGTAAATCTAACCCTCGCCCGTCTTTGTCGTACTATGGCGGCCAACCAGTCAGTCTATTAGATCCTGAAGAGTAAGGATACTCTCCGTCATCCACTGGAGATCCCGGATGAACTGAGAGGGAGAATGATGCTAAATAGCCTGGATATAGTCTCGCCACTCCAGTGGCAACGCCCAGGACTGCTAGAGAGAACAGCTCCTTTGCCGTACCATACCTCTATAACCCCTGTGATGGGAATCGGCAAGGGTTCTTCACTAGGTACGGATCCCTTAGTTTTGGAAAAAGGAACACCAGGGAACAAGTCCCAGACCACCCAGTAGGTAGGCAGCAATACACGTAAGTGCTACAGAGAATCAAGGCCTCCTGCATGTTTGGGCACAGGGGCCGGGTAGTTGTACTAAGGGTTAAGGTATTATTGCTGTCTGTGGAATCTAGTGTGCAGGAACAAAGCATGTTCCTGAGGAGTTAAAGAAGTCTGTGATACCGAAGAGAGATGTGGGAAAGATAAGGGAGGGGTGGTAGTGGTATTTGACTTAGAGCAATTAAGAGAGGTGAGAAATCCTAATAAGACAATGGGTGAGGCCACAAATGGTGGTTGTGAGTTTGACCCAGGAGGGACACACAGACAGTCAGTCCTGCCACCTAATGCCCAGTCTCGATTGCTTTCAATGACCCATTCATGTCTTTTTAAAACTAATACCACCTAGGTGACTCTTATATTACAAAGTTTGGCTACTAATATGAGGTATATTCTTGTATGAGTACAAGAGGTACAACTCTAATACCTTATTAAACAAGCATTGTCTGTTTGTTTGTTTTAATCTTATCATAAACCCTGTTTTTAGGATTTTTTTTTTCAACACAGGAATTATACAAAAATAGAGAAAAGAGGTAAAGCCCCAGTGAAGGAGAGATGGATAAGGGAGTGATAGGGAACTGAATTGGCCTTTAACAGCCTGATACAGAGCAATTTCCCTATTCTGTTAGCACAGACTATTGGTTGGGGGGGGGGGAATCTTCATATGTAACAGCTACCCTGGACAGATGTAGTTAGGAAGAAATAGAAGAGGAGAGAGCACATTTAGCTATAAAAGATTTTCAGATCATTTGTTTGTATCGTGGCAGGCAGAAGTCGCCACCATTGGAAATCGAGCATGCCAGTTTAGGCCATTGAGCTGTCTGAGGCCAAGCTGTCTGTAGGAACAGAGTGAGGCTTTAACAAAATCTGAGTCGATGGAGGAAGAGAGGAAGGGTCGAAAAACGAACCCCATTGGAGGGAATTTCTCTAAGCTCCAAGTGGGAGCTGAGAGGCAAGAGAACAGCTCAGGAGGGCATAGAAAAGCTGTGAGACTTCCACGATGGAGCCGAGAGGCAGGAAGGACAAGGTCACAGAGGCCCAGAAGGGCCTCAGGAAGCTGCAGGAATTAGCAGGCAGCTCCTTTGGGGAGGCAAGGAAAATCACAGCATGTAGGCCCAGGACGGCACTAGGAGAGATGGACCAGGTAGCTCCAAAGGAAAGGGGGCGAGGAAAGGTCGCAGAACCTGGAGCATGTAAGAAGTTCCAGAAGGCGCTGAGAGGAGCCCTGAGAGAGCAGAGGGGGTAAGGGTCGTGGGAACAAGAACTTCATTCCAGTGCATTCCCAAGTGGACCGGAGAGAAATGCCCCCAAATCATCGGCGTCCCTTTCCATGTGATGGGAGGTGGGGAGCCTCCCGGCACACCCGTGTGGCTTTTGTAGTAAAAGTAAACAAAGCAGGGAGCTCCATAGTGACGCCCACCCAGGAAAGGGGGAGAGAGGAGTGGTTAGAGCAGGCGAAAACAGCTGGAGAAGTGCATGTGTCTTAGTCAGCAGAATTGCCCATGTGGTGAGGCCCTGAAGGGTATGGCGGGGAGCATGCCAACCCGGTGGGTAGTCCAAAGGGTGTAACCAGGAGAGAGGACACTTACTGAGTAGGCAAGGAGAGATGGATGGTTAGTTAAGGTGGAGAGAAGTGGCTGAAGAGGCAGATTCTAAAATCAAATTTAGTGGGTGGCAAAACCCAGCAGAAGCAAGTGATCCATATATATATATATACCTTATGAGGGTCAGATCAGCAGCTTGAGTCAATTTGAAATGTTGAGACATGGGCATGGCTTGAAAGGTAAGTGTAGCATCCTCTACCAATGCTACCTGAAGAGAGAGAACGTTTTAGAAGGGGGTAGTGTTGGAGATGCTTGTAGGTTAGGGAATGAGACAGGCAGTGAAAAGAGAAGACAGTACTGGGTGGCCTGAAGGTTAACTCTTTCTATTTGTGCATGAGAACCTTCAGCTACAGCCAGAGCACATTGTCAAGGTGCCCATCCTTGGAAAGTATGCTCTACTATTTGATAAGTATGCAACGGGTACACAGGAAAGTTCCAGCAGGTGATTCAGGACCCCAAGGGCATATCCCTCCTTTTCTGTAACCTGGAGAGAGAAGGGATAAGCTAAGTCCAGAAGATGTAGAGCCAGGGCCTGGAGGAGGGCCTGTTGAAGCTTATGAAATGGCTTAGTAATGCGTGGAAAAGATTCATGTGAGGGGCCAAGGGCCATCTCATATGGGGGCGGGTGAGACGCGAGAAGGAAGGAATCCAAGAGTGTAAGAAGCTGGCCATCCCTAGGAAGGATAGGATTTCATCCTTGCTGGTGGGGACTTTGAGTGACTGAATGAAGTGTTTTCTATCTAGGGTAATGGCCTTGTGAGTTGGAATGATAGCTAATCCCAGATAAGTAACCTGAGGAGTGGACAGCTGGAACTTAGAGAGTGAGACCTTATATCCCTAGTTGGACAAAACGTTTAATAAGGTGAAGGTGTCAGCCTGGCTAATATGCAGGGGTGGACTGCAAAGAAAAGACTGGCTATGTGTTGTATAAGCTTGGATTTAGGAAGAGACAGAACAAGTCAGAGGCCAGAGCCTGGGTGATATATTTGGTGGGGTTTCATGAGGCTGGTCAAGCTGTTACCTTACCCTGACAATAGGGGAACAAGAAGATGAGGGTCCCTAAAACTCCATCAGGACTAAATAGGTGGCCCCAGTGTCCAGAAGGACAGAGATACTTCATCCTGATACTGTGATGTCTACCTGGGGCTCCCAGTGAGAGATGGCAGTGGTCGGGCCAAGGGAGCC